AGAGAGATTTCGCTGTCGGGACGGCGTTTTCAATGGGTCCAGGGTCAAAGTCCAAGCAGTTTTTGTATCTCGCCATCAGGTGAGAGAATGAGGCGAGGGAGATTCGATCGTCTGAAAAACTGGTTGGACTTTTTCACTGCAGGCCTGGAAAAGAAGATCAGTGTCTGTTTGATTTTTACTGAAAAAACATCACAAACAAGAAAAACCTGTCCGCTGTTAGTCAAGAGGAACTGTTCTTGGCCTTTGTTTTAGTTTTTTAAAGGAAAACTGGTCTCTGTTAGCAGAACTTGTCTGCTGTTAGCTCAAGAACTGCGCTGGTTAGTCAAAAAACTGGTTTGCCTTGTTAGTCAAAAGAAAAAAAACTTGTCTTTGCTTTTTGTTAGTAAAAAAAACTTGGTACTGCTTTTTGTGTAGGTCAAGAAACTGTCCGCTGTTTTAGTCACAAAAAAACTTCTTTCGTCGTGCTGTTAGTTCAAAAAGAAAAACTGTCTGGCTGTTAGTAAAAAAACTGTCTGCCGTTAGTCAAAAGAAAAAACTGTTCTGTCCGTTAGTCAAAAACTTGTCTTGGCCTGTTAGTCAAAAAAAAAAACTGTCTGCTGTTAGTCAAAAACTGTGCTGTTATTATTTTATTACCTAAAGACAGACTGAGAGCTGGAGCCAACAGGACTTTCTTCTTTGTTGGTCGTGATCCTGACAAGGCCAGACTGCTGGGAGGAGCTGCAAACAGGAAGTGAGGTCACAGAGCGTCAAATGCTATTTCAATGTTTCTAAAATGTCCAGTTAAGACATGAAATGTTTTATATTTTTATTTGTTTGTAATTTATTTGATTGTAATATTTAGGTGGTTAAATGTTTATAATATTATTTCTTCCTCCAGAATATCACAGAACAGTAAACATAAACAACATCTTAAATAATAACATCTAATAACATCTCTAAATAAAATCAGTGAATGAATTTAATTCAGTCAGATTATTTTATTATTTTGGTTTTCACATTAAGGCCTTATTCTTCTTTTTATATTTTATATATTATATTATTTTATTACATTATTGTTCTATCTCTGGTCTGTACCTGGTTTTTCTGTTGGCGTCGATGATTTCTGCTCTGAGACAAACTCGTCCTCAACAGCTGCTGATGACAGAAAGTCAGAGAGGAAACAGAGAGAAGAAAGAGAAGAAAGAGAACTTAGCTGAGTTCTCTAGATCTTTATCCTGCAGATTTAACATTTTTTATACTTAAATACAACCAAATAATTCATCCACAAGCACTTAAATGTTATCGTTTGGAAGGTAAAATTATATATCAGCAGGAGGTGACAGCTAACAGCTAACGGCTAACAGGAGTACCACAAGGCTCCATACGAGGACCACAGTTATTCAGTTTGTACTTCATTTGATTGAATATTGGGAAAACAGGGAAGGTTTTTTATATATTTCATTGGATGTTGCAGGTGAAATGATTGTGATGTGTATTTTGGGATCTATGAATGAATGTAGTATTTATTGTATTTTATATTTTATTTATATTTTATTTATTTTATTTGTATTTATTGCATTAGTTGTGTCGACCTGCTCAGGATGGAAATCTTGTACAACAAGTCCTCCCCCCGGTATGAGACTCATGTTGTTTTAGTTAGTTACCTGGTTGGAAGTCACCCTCCTGTCCTCTGTCACCTGCTGGGAGACATACTGAGGACATGACACCTGGTGTTTCCATGGCAACGCAATTTCCTCTGACTACTTCACCTGTTTCCTCTTCCTCTGTGGAGGAAGACCAGAAATATTTTTGTATGAATGGCAAACCTCGTAAAACAAACAAACAATAAAAGACTTCCTGTGGGCGAAGGAAAGTGTTTGTACCCGTTTGACCATCAGTTGTTTCAGTTGTGGCGGCTAACGTACTATTAACAGCACTGGCAGTATCAGTAGTTTTAGTTGTGGTGTCCTTGTCTGCAGAAGGTGACCTACACACAGAAAGCACACTGTAAAAATACTGTAATAATAATGCCTGTATTGAACATGTTACTTTATTAAAAGAATGTATAATACAATAATAATAATTATATAAATATATAAGTACTAAAGGCAGAAAAATGTTTTGTCCAAACCTCAAAATTATTCTTCAAATTATTACAACCAAAAACTACCTGGATGCGTCTTCCTCTTGTTCCTCCGCTCTGGACTCCATCTTGTTCCTGCTCAAAAATTACTTTTTAATTATTTTGGATTTTGGTAGCAGCTCAGAGATGCTAACGGCTACGTAGCAGGAGACGTTGGTTGGTGATGTCACCTGCCTACAGATCAGCCAATAGCTAAATTAAACTGCACTAGCTGGTTTCAACCAGTAGAGGACGGTCACTGTGCATTGTTATAGCAAAACATGTAGAATTTAAACCCTTTGGACTAAAATGTTCTGATTTGGCTTCAGAAGAACATGGTTCGTTTAGTTACAGTTATAATAAGTAAAAATTAACAGAATGTCATCGTGACCTCCAGGTCGGGAACCACAACCTCAGAATGAGTTGTTTCATCTACAGAGGGAGCGGGTCCTCTTCTATTAGTCCGCCATGTTGAACCATCATGTTTTTTACTGTAGCCCAGAACAGGCAAACCAAACACTGGAACTCAATTGAGACTTTCTCCTTGGAAAGTTTGTAATCTCCATATATGGCACTAAATCCTGGACCTTTAATAACTTAATGTGTAACTTATATAACGTGTGAAACAAAGTGTCTCTGTCAACTTTTACTGAAGCTTTTCAGTTTGGTGAAAAGTTCCCAGGAGGTCTGGTGGATCAGACACAGAGTTCAGGGCGTCTGAACGTGACTTTGTGGAAGTGCTGATCTTTATTTACGCTCTCGGCTCTAGGCTCTTATCTCTCCGCAGAGGAGGCAGAAAGGTTGAAGGTAAAGAACATAAAGATCAACAATAAAGACTTACAGCGGCTCTGCTCTCTCAGGGAGTCGACAGGAACGGTGGCCAGGTGAGACGGTTGAGGCAGGTGAGACAGGTTCAAACAGCTGAGGTTGGTGAGAAACCCGTATCTCAACTGGAGACTCACCTGCTGACATTACAGTGAGTTTATGAGCGGACTCTAACACCTCACCTGCCCCCCCCCCCGTGTACTCTCAGCCAACAGGACGGCAGAGGTGTGGTGTGTTGCCGTGGCGAAGGCCCGGCCCCGTTCCCATGGCGACTATGACTGTACAAGGCGAGGTGCAGGGGTGGGAACTGCAGCGTGCGTGCCCCTACCTGCTGAACACACACACACCTGAGTGCTGATTGCATAAGCGAGTTATTAGTGATGAGTTATTCTCCTGTTTTTGGGCGTATCAACCGTCTGTGATTGTTCTCAAACAAGTTTATTCCGACTTATTTTTGACTCAACAGGATGAACAAGTCTGAACGGCTCTGTGACACAGTGACACTATGAGCTAAATGCTAACATGCTGCTCACAATAACAAAGTGTTGTCTGAAGCTTAGTGCGTCTCCCGATATTAATATTACCAATATTAAGTCCTTAGTTGTTTCTTCAAAGTTCCTCTACCGCTCCACCCAGAGCTCCAAGCAGTGAGTCAAGTCCATCCATATTAAAACCTGTTGGTCTCAGAAAGGATCTCACCAAACTGATGCTCCTTTTATTTTGAACAAACACTGTAAGAGAACGTCCTCCCTGTTCTAAACCCAGATCGACATTGATCAACACAATCATCTTCGATACCAAAACAGTCTGGATTCCGATTGTTAATAAACACTACTTTTGGATACAATAAAACATACATCAAATAATATTTGATGAAGCTCAGCTGGAGTCCCAGTCAGAGTCCAGGTCCTCCCGTCCAATCAGAGCCTTGCCTTGCTGCGCAGTGTGTGTGTGGACGTGAGCGCTGAGCGCCACCCGGTCCACATGGTTGATTCATTCGGTCACTGTTGGATTCAATTCAGTCCACTGGTTGGATCCATATCAGTCACGGTTGTATTCATTCGGTCACTGGTTGGATTCATTCGGTCAC